ATAGGTTTAAGGCTCCACGGCCGAAACGTTGCGTTTTGTTTCGTCTCTTTTCAGCATGGAATAAACCTATGACTTGTTCCTTTGCATGCTGACGCAGCTCCCCACCTGAACTATTACGAGATAAGGGCGAGGATGCGTTTCCGTACTTATGTGTTCCAAACTCCAGAAAAAAAAATGTTTTAAATGATTTCTTTACCAAATAAACAGACAAACTGCGCTTCCAGCCTGACCGCTCGGCTCAACCCAGTTTGATAACCGGCGGGCAGGTTCCGTGACGAGTCTCTACTTACGGATACCCGAAACACGCGTCCGACTGTCTTCTGGGGTTTCATCCAACCTGAGAAGTCGATTACCCTAATTATTTATATATAATAATCTCCATGTTAAATAATATATTTTAACATATACAGGATTTTCTTTTGAAACCATTCACTTCAAGTACAGGAATGAATGAAACACCACTGAACCTAAATAGAGGTGTTGCAATTTTGCAGATGACTACATCATTTGAACACCTACATAACTCCGCGTTCAAGGGAAACAAAAGAGGAAGACAAGTGTTTTGAGATCTCCGACATCTGTTAGTGTGACCCCCCCCTCTCCACTCCACTCCACTCCACTCCGGTGAAGTCTGTGCTTTATTTCTGCCTTCCTCGTGAGATTTCAGGGTCGTCCGCGAAAATCGTGCTCTAAAATGTGTTTGCTTTGCTGGGCAGCTTCACTCTCATTTAAAAAACCCTGCAGAGTTTACCAGCTGCGTTAGATCATGAGTAATGACTCCCAGCTCGACGAGTCCTCTCCGTCACGCTCGGCCGTCGGGGGGGGGAGTTGTGTCCGAATGGATTCCGGGTTCGGAACCGCGCTGGTCTGACGGCTCCTCGCGCGACACGGGATGTTTTACACAGCAGCTGGACTCTCGACCGGCCGAGGGCCACACTTACAGCAGGGAACCCGCTCCGGCGGCAGGCGGCACTCCTGCACTCGACAAGGGTTGAATTGCAGTGAGATGAGTACTCAAAGACGGTCGACTTCGCTTTGATTGTGGTGAATTTCCATTGTGTCTCATGTTTCTATGCTATTACATTTTCACAGAGTATTACCGCACCTCTGTCTGCCTTTACCACAGTTTACCGCACCTCTCTGTGCTCTGACCAAAAGAGAAGACACCAGGTGAGAAAAAAAAATCCTCATGACACGAGCTAGAAGAAACAATAAAAATAATCTTCATTTTATGAGGATCCTTTGCACGTGACATAAAACAAGATCTTTATTACAGGTGTAGCAGAAGAGATCAGCAGTTGTACACAGTTTACACACAGAGCCACAAGCCTGGAGGAAAAGCTCTTCATCTTCAGCCCAGATTTCAAATAAACTTACAAACGGGGGAGTTGATCATTAGGATAATAGCATTCAAGATTGTCAGCTTCACTGTGGCCCTCATCCCTTCATTGGATGCAGAAATACTCCACCATTTGCAGCGAGAGCACACCCCTTTTCCTGATGTGCAGGCTTCTGCATACCCCTTTTCCAGCTCAGCAGAGCTCTTTGATAAACATCCTCCAGTCTATCTCCTGCTCTGCGGGTTTGGAAGCGTCAAGTGGGGTAGTAAAATGGTGCAGCAATGGCCGTGCTATTCAGGTGAGCACTGGATACCCCTGAGCTGCGCTTGCTGAAGTCTGCACCCTCAAGAGATCCCAGCCCCGAAGCCTGGCGGGACTCTGGCGCCTTTTCACCTCCACATGCTGTGTCTAGCATCTGTGCAACCCACCCATTTTACACATGACATATTTTCTACTTATTAGAAAGAGACCCCCGGACCCTTGAACCCAATAAACGTACAGGGCCTGTAATCATTCGGCATCATACACTAGTTGCCTCGTCCCTAATTTTTTTTTCCCTTCCTTTCACAAAAGTCAAGGATTGTTAGAGAGAAAGAAAATAATAACAAGCTTATTCTGGTGTGCAAAGGGTAAAGGTGGACAATAAGATCCAGAAGCCTGGTTCCATGCTGATGCCTACATTCTGAAGGGGTAGTTGTGAAGAAGGAGCAGAGGGGAGAAAGATGAGGGCAGGGCTCCCACAGCGGGGCGGTCCGAGCCATCCCCAGACGGTGCAGGGCAGGGCGCTTGTGGACACGGTGCAGGAGACACGCGCTCTCCCCTCCCGCAAGTTCGGTGTCCGCACAGAGACCTGTGAGCTCGAAAGGGCCAGAAGCCCACGTTCTCTGATGGACAAGAGCCGGCATCTTGCCAAGCCTGGGGTGACTCGGGGCCGCCGCGGGAGTGGGAGTCTGATTTCCTGTCCAGTGAGAGCGGGGGGGGGACTGGAGCGGTCTCGGGTTCGAGAAGGTGCGTCCGGGCCCCCAGGCTGGCCCCGGGCCCTCACTTGAAGCCGCGGAGCCGGGTGTATTTCTTCAGC